CCTTTTATTAAAAGATAACTCTGATTTTGAAATAAAGTATAAACAAAACCGGTCTTTTCTGGCCGTGATTTTGGGGATGTCACATCGGGTCAACTGAAAGTTGACCCTAACATTGGCTTAGAACTAAATCAGGGGTAAAATGGTCATTTTTACCTAAAGGACGGTTAGCAGTGTTTGATTGAGTATGTTGTGGGAATTGCAGCCGGAGGACTCCCGGAGCAGCAACAGTCAGTTAGTTCCCGATCAGTTCAGCAGCTACTTTGAGGTGAGTTACCTTCCAGTAGCGGTGGGTCTAAGGCCACCATGCCGACCCCACCAGTAGGAGGTGTATGACAGGTGATTGTCTTTGTGATATCATCTAAGTTTGCTATTACCTGACATGTTATATGCTAGCATGATATGTTGTATGTGATAGTAGTAGAGTTTGGTTGTTAGGACCAAAGGGTAGTCAGACACCCCAGATACGTCTGACAGTATGTGATGATATGTATGCATGCTGGCTTGTTATGTTATATATGATCGTAGTAGTAGGGGGTGAAATAGTCCCCGAGGATCGGTTGTTAGGACCGATGGGTAGTCAGCACCCCCAGAATGGCTTGACATGGGTAGTCAGCACCCCAGAATGGCTTGACACGGGTCAGACGGCACCCCAGAATGGCCGTATGGGTAGGTCGGCACCCCAGAATGGTCGTACCGGGTAGTCAGGCACCCCAGAACAGCCTGGCAGTACGTATGTTATGTGTTTGTATGGTATGTGGTACGTTGGGGGAACTCACTAGGCTTTGTGCTTACGTTTACAGTTTTGTTTTCAGGTACCTCTGCATCGAAGGGGAAGGAGCCGGCGCGGTAGCGGCACGTCATACACACACTCTTCGGTTTCCGCATTTATGAGATTACTGGGACTATACTCTGATATTTTGATGGAATGTATGGTGTGGCTTTTTAGAACATGGTTGCAATGTGTTATGGTGTGAACAAACAATGTTTTTATTTATTAATGTTCTCTAAAGTAATATTTTTAAAAAAAAAAAAATTGGGTCGTTTCAAGAGTGGTGGCCAAGTCTCCAATTTGTGCTTGAATGTTGAAGAAAGTGTTCTTGGTCTTTTGTTGAAATTGGGTTTGGCTTTGAGCAAGAGGGGTGACAAGTTCTTGAAGGCTCATTTAGTGGTTACCACTTGATTGACCTTTTTGTGTATGTTGTTGAAAATTTTGAAGGGGATGAGATGTTTGGGATATGGAGGTTTCTGTGATGGGTATTGAGAAAATTGGGGTCTCATCATAACATGTGGTGGGTTATTCCTCCAATTTGGGTTATAGTTGTTTTTAAATCCCGTGGGTCTTGGTTAACCTTGATATCCCCCCATTGCATTAATATCCTCCGGTTCACTACCAAGTGAGGGACACTTATCCGTATAATGCCCCATCATTGCACAAATACCACACACCATTAATTGTTGACCACTTCCCACCACCATTTGACTTAACACATTAATCAAATCCAAGAGATTTAATTCCAAGTGTTGGGTGTTACTAACTTCACCGACCACATGTGGAGAATTTCTCTTCATTTCATTTCGAGTCCCAATGTTCCTTTGATTTTGAGAAATGGTACCAAAAAGTAATCTTATCTCTTGAGGTGTCTTGTTGAAGATGTCACCACCACTTGAAGCATCAATCATCCTTCGATCTTTTTCATTCATGCCCTCATAAAATTATTGAAGAAGTAGTTGTTCAGGGTATGTTGTGTTGAGGGAAACTTGTACACAAGTTGTTGAATCGCTCCCAAAAATCATGAAAAGTCTCATTCTCCCCTTAACAAATCCCCAAAATGCCACTTCTTTGACTTGATATCCGAGAAGTGGGATAGAACTTGCTATTGAAGGCCTTGAGTAACTCTTCCCATGTGTGAATAGATCCCGATGGTAAGTTGAATAACCACTCTCTAGGATTTATCTTCCAAGGTGAGCGGGAAGGCGGTTAGCTTGAAATCATCCAATATCAGAGATCACAGACTATAGAGATTTCATTGCCCAATTTCAGAGATCACAGACACTTCAGAGTTTCAAAGACATTTCAGCATGTGATTCTTATTATGTATCATTTTTATTACTGCACTTGCTAGTTGGTTACTATGTATTTTAGCCTTTTACCATTGTATTTGTATCCATCATCATTTGCGAGCATTTAGAGAGAGATTGTTGGAGCATGGAATTGATCTACAAATTATGATTGATAGTTAGGTTATTATATTTCCTTTTATTGTTTGTAAGGTACCTCTCTCTATAAATAGAGAGGGTGTGGTTATTTGTTTAGTGTGCACCAAAATGTAGTCTTTCTAGTAAGAGAGAGTCGATAGGGGTCTCTCCTCATCCAAGAGAGCTTGTATTGTCATATGTTTCTCTTTCTTTCTAGTAAAATATCGGAATACTCATCTCTTTATGTTTTTCATATTTTTGTTATCGTTAAATCGTCTAGATCTTATTATTCCGCACATGTTGATCGTTTAAAATAGGATCCTACTAAGTCAAATGAACTTAATTGGGCCCAAAGGTACCCCATTCTTGAAATTTTCATTACTTTGTTTTAATTTATTTTTCCTATTCTAACTTATAGAAATAGGTACTCGGGTTTGAATCCAAGTGGATTATATCATTTTGAGGCCAAATATATCTTAATGAGACATACATTCAATGTTAATATGGAAAAAGTGACTTGAAAATGTAAAGGATGACAACTTACTAGACTGCCTTGTTTTCATATTGTTGCCACATCAACC